TCTACTACCTAACTCTGCCAAAATGAGAAGGTCTATCACAGATATACTTACTTGAGTGAAGTATTTGTTATCATTTCGATGTAACCTATGCTAGATTAGTAGTGCAAAACTTTTGGTAATTTTGAAAACTTGCTAAAAAAGCGACCGTGCAGAAAATTTCTTCAAAAGGCTAGCAACTTAACCATACCGAATAGACTAATTTCTATGCCTTCTCCGAAAATCAACACAAAACTTGAGGGGAAGCAGACTGCAACTCACGATCTTTAGCATTCTCATCATGCCTTCTTTTGCTGCATTCTTCCGGTAAAACTCATCAACGCTCCAAATGCCGGTTTCTTCCTCACGATATTTTGACAAGCAATCGTGGAAAAACTGCGCAATGTCATTGAAACTCAGAGAGACATCTGTCTAAAATGCTTAACATACTATCACCAAACGTTGCTCAAAACTCACATCGATATCTTCATGAACTTGAATGTATGTGAGAAGATTCTCTTTCATGTTGCGCGGCATAGTACCAATTCCTTCATAAGGAAACTGTTGCCACATATTCTGCACATATTTCGCAATGAAGCTTGCCTAAAACGGGGGAAATCAAAAGAACGGGCGCAGAAAGAATCTCATTTCTTCGGCGCTATTCCACATTGACCCAAAAAATAAAAATCTTGAATTTCGGTAAAACTTCGTCTAAGGGGGTTATTTGGTACGCCGAGCACAAATATAATGTTGTTTTCGCGCTTGCAGTGTCACGGTGGGTTACGGTAGGGGGTCAAAATCACGTATTTCCCAGAAACTTTGTTTAGGGGGGTTATTTAGCCATGCGAAACGCGCATAAGATGCTTATTTTATGCGACAGCGCCATCCGGTGGAATTACAATAAACTTTCGGGCAAATCCGGGTTTTTAGCCCCTAACGCTATCCTACCGTAACTTCACCGGATGGCGCTGCCGCACGAAATAAACATTATATTCGTGTCAGCGTACAATACCCCCCACCCTAGTCGAAGTTTTGGGCAAGTCCGTGTTTTTGACCCCTTATCCGTAACTTCACCGTAGCTCCACCGGATGGCGTTACCGGGCGAAATAAACATCGTTTCCGTATTCAGCATACCAAATAACCCCCCTGGGCGAAGTTTTAGTGAAATTCACGGCTTTCATTTTTTGGGTCAACTAATGTTATGATCATGGCAGAGTTCTCTCTTTATTTTTCTTCTCTACTTCTCTTCTATAATATGTTCTAAAGAGCTTTCTCTATAGAACGCAGCTGCGTTTACATTCATTGTCCTCTAACTATAGATGTCGCTTGTTTAGCGTTCATATATTTGTTGAGTCACCTACGCCATATTGTTTGAAGGTTTTACTGCTC